AATTTTTGGCAGCCATTACCGGACAATTGACGGGCCCGTCTTACAGTCTTGGACTATCGCACTTGGAGCTTAAAGAAAACCATACATTTGCTTTGTTTCCGAGATGCACCAGCACGTGAAGGTAACCAATATTGGTTGTTTTTGGCAAATCTTTAGATTATACTTCAGGAGCTTAGAGAAACTAAAAAATTTCTTGTTAATTAAATTTCATAAAAAATATGAAACATTTTCATTTTAGCATTACTCAATTATCTTGCATCATAATTTGTAAAAACAAAAAACATCTTATTCGGAAGTAATAACCTCAGTAACAGGTAATATTACAGCAATATTGAGCACACTGCCTTAAAATTACCGATATTGCCTCCATGTTGCCAATGTTACTGGAACATTACGTGCTACTGGGGAAGTAGAATAAAAATGATTATTAGCTATCAATATTTTCATTTCTATATAAATATAAAAATATTTGAACTTTCAAATTTAAAATTCCTAATTTTTTCTATTTTTATGATAAAATTGAAATTAGAATTACCAAAAATACAAATTAATTAATTAATCAGAAAATATCAACACCAACTTGATAGCAGACGACAGGGAGTAAAAGTCATTCACTTGTTCGACTTGTATGAAAATGGCGGCCTTTTTTACCTTGGGCAAAAAAAGCATGGGACCAACTGTTTTTTGCCCTTGGAAAAAAATCGCTTTTTGTATTCGGTCGAACAAATAAAAGACTGTTCAAAACAGGCAAAAAGAAGGCTTTTTTAGTATGTATTATTAAAATAACTATGACATTTATTTAAAAAATTTCTTTTACATGTAAAAAATAATTTATTTAAGAATTTGTAAAAAAAAATTTTTTCTACCACACGCACCGAAAGTACACCATTTCCTACGTGTTTAGCGGGAGAAAAGTGTATGATTCCCTGCGAGCGGGAGGGAATGTACATTCCCTCCCGGCTAGTGACGTCACCGGGAGGGAATGTAACATTCCCTCCCTGTGAGGAAGGAAAAGTAACTTGCTTTCTCGGTAATATTATCAAAGTATGACCATTGATGAATCAGTTACGTGAGTTACGTCAGCTAAGTACTTACGCGAGTTACGCAAATGGTGTAGTTACGTAACTTACGTAAATGGTGTAGTTATGTTAGTCTTTCGAGTTACAAATAATAAATGATTTACGTAAGTTACGTAACTTACGTTACTTACGTTACTTACGCTACTTGCGTAAACCTACGCTCTTTGGGTTAGTTTAGTTATTTTAAGCTTTTCACAAACTTTCAGTTACCACAGTTGTAACTATACCGCCCCCAGCTACAACTATACATTCAAAAGTAACAATCAAACTGCCGCGTTTGTACTTTCGGTATACGTGTGTTAGAAAAAATAGTATGTGCAACTCGGGAGGAAAATTGATTTCCACTCGTGTTTTACAGTTCTCGGCTTCGCTCGCAAGCACTCGCCTTCGGCTCGTTTGCTCGCTACGCCTCGAACTGCAAACTACACTCGTCGGAAATCATCCATTTCCCTCCCTTGATGCACAATCTACTATTTCATTTTTATTTAAAAATGGCGGCGATATACGCCATTTTCGAAAATGCCCATTCTCAGTGGTAAGATCGATTCCAAACTTTCTATAACAGATAAAACCAAAAACGAAGTGGCATTCTCTTCGTTAGATATTTCTTTAGGTGTGAAACCTCAAAAAAGTGGAATTTTCTTCCCCCCCCCTTTTTTTAGAGTACTTTTTCTCTAAAATATGCAAAAAAAGGTGTTTTCATTCAGAATTTCCCTTATAAAATAAAGAGAGTTGGAAATTTTCCAGTTTTTGAGGTTCCACTTATAGGCATGATGACGCTGAATCAAATGCCGTTTGATTTTTTAAAATCGCTTTAGAAGAACTCGAGATATCACTCTTTCCAGATCAAAAAAAGACATTTTGAGAAAAACGCATTTTAAGTTTTTGTTCATAAGTTTTGAAATTTTTTTAAAAAAAATCATCGGATTTGCTTGAAAATCGTTACTCGGGGGTTTTCGAGGTCGCTAATTACGAATATTGAATCAGATTTTTAAAATTCAAAATGGCGAATCCAATATGGCGGACATTCTTTTTTTAAAATCATTGGATTTGCTTGAAAATCGTTACGGGGGGTTTTGGGGTCGCTGATTACGAATATGACATAATTTTTTAAAAATTAAAAATGGCGGATACAATATGGTGGACGAAAAAAAAATTAAACGAAAAAAAAAATTTAAATAATAGTACATTGTACAACTAGTGGCGAAAGTGTGATTTTTCGAGAGTGAAGTTTGCGGCTCGAGCGTAGCGAGAGCAGCAATCACTCTCGAAAAATCATTCTTTCACCACGAGTTGTGCACTACGTTTTCTCCAACGCCTTGCGAGGAAAGGTTTCTTCGTGAGTTTCGTATAATTTTAATTTAAAATGTTCTTATGTTTAATATAATAAAAGACGAATGTTTTGAGTGGGGAAGAAGTTAGATACAAAATAAATCTCGGTCAAAGAACAAGAAAAAAGAATAAATTCATAATTTACTTTCGCCACGCCAAATTTACTTTCGCCACGCTAAAAATTACTTTCGCCACGCTGAATTTACTTTCGCCACGCCAAATTTTACTTTCGCCACGCTCTTCAGAGCAGTTGAGAAAAGTTCTACTTTCGCCACACTTTTCTACCAAGAAAAGTACTCCTTTCAGAGCAAGTGTTGGAGAAAAAAATTTTCTTTTCCGCCATGTTGGATCCCCCATTTTCAATTTTGAAAATTTGATATCTAATTTTTGATCAGCAACACCAAATACATTTTTGTTTGTCTTTTTTAAAAAATGCAAATGAGAAAACATTTAAATCATACGATTGCTTATCCGCATACAAAAACATCTTTGACATGGCGAAGAATAAGGATGTATAATTTTTGTTTTACTTCGAATTTTGCAATATTATTTTAGAAGAGTATTCTTGACACTATAAAAAATCCGAAAATAAAAACAAAAAAAAATTTCTGGGCCCGCATTTTATTTACAAAATAAAGCTATATTTTTGTTAAGCGCCATATTATTCGCCATATTGGATCCGCCATTTTCAATTTAATTTTAATTAAAATTTTCGAAATTATGTGTCAAATGCTTAATAAATAAAGCATTAACTAACAAATTGAAACCAATTCAACGCCTGTAACGCGGCAGTGCAACCGCCCGTGAAATTGCACGCTCCATGTCTTTTTTACAGCGCGTAACAGGTTTAAAAAACCATCGGTACACTTCAGAAAGCCTTACCCATTGTTCGAAGATAATTGAATCTTAAATAATTATACGAATTAGTTTTTTAAAATATTTGCGATTGTTCACAACTGGAGGTGGGGTAGGAGTCAAAAATTGATGAAAAATTGTCCATTTGGTTTATGGAACAACGATAAAATTTATACCTCTCACTCATACCTCGTTCTCGATCTGCCTTTCTTTTACTCCTTAATCTATCTGTGAGTGAAAAAAGAAAAATAATTAGCCAATAAGGAAATAAGACGCCCATTTCGTATTTTGGCTTGAAAGTAAAATTCCCCACTTTTCCTTCCCCTATCAAATTCTGATCCTCTCTTTCTACCTGACACGGAAAATGGAGAAAACATGGTACCCCCTTCAAAAAAAAAAAAAAAAAAAAGTGGGAATTACTTTCTTAACTATTCGTCTCTCTTTCGCTCCTATTCTAAACTAAAAGGAGAGACAATACCTCCCTCCCTCTCTTTCTCTCTCACTGTGAACAGAATATATAAGGAAAGACTAACTTAACTCATTAACGCCTGAAATAAGAAAATTCTTTGCGCAATTTTAACATATGCTTTTACAAATAACAAGATCTTATTTCATACCACAAGTATGTTTCTTACTGGTTTTGAGTGTGCTCTTTCCGATTCCGGTGTCAAAAAGGAATTTCGTTCAACCCAAAATTAAATATGGCGGTTTTAATTTCAAAAAGACCAAAAAAAATTTCATTTTTTCAAGTTTGATAATTTTTTTTTACCGTTAATCGTGTGTGAATAAAATTCAGTTTTCAACCATAGGTGCATAAAAGTTGTATACTTTTAAGAAACGTAAACTAGATTTCAAAATTTCAAGATGGCGACCAAATATGGCGTCAAATATGAAGAAAAATTTTGAAAGTTTTGGTCACTATTTTTCAAAATACCAAAATGTTATTGAATTCGCCCAAATTTTGTTACTCGGGGGTTTTTGGGGTCGCTGATTACGAATCTGATGTTAGATTTTTAAAATTCAAAATGGCGGATACAATATGGCGGATGAGAAATTTAAATTTTCATCTGATTCAGTTCAAAAACATTACTCGGGGGTTTTCGGGGTCGCCGATTACGAATCTGAAGTTATATTTTTAAAATTCAAAATGGCGGATCCAATATGGCGGATGATAAATTTAAATTTTCATCTGATTCAGTTCAAAAACATTACTCGGGGGTTTTCGGGGTCGCCGATTACGAATCTGAAGTTATATTTTCAAAATTCAAAATGGCGGATCCAATATGGCGGATGAGAAATTTAAATTTTCATCTGATTCAGTTCAAAAACATTACTCGGGGGTTTTCGGGGTCGCTGATTACGAATCTGAAGTTAGATTTTCAAAATTCAAAATGGTGGATCCAATATGGCGGATAAGAAATTTAAATTTTCATCTGATTCAGTTCAAAAACATTACTCGGGGGTTTTCGGGGTCGCTGATTACGAATCTGAAGTTAGATTTTAAAAATTCAAAATGGCGGATCCAATATGGCGGATAAAAATTTTGAAAATGATTTTTTTTGTCTTCTGCCGTTTTTTAGTAACGTTAACCGACTCTCACCACGTGGAGGTAGACAAAATTAAGAGTCTTTTTAATTTTTTTTTAATTTTTTAATTTTTAATTTTTTTTTACTTTTTTAAAATAAATTTTTGTAGCTTTAAGTATAGTTTTAAATTGTTTCTATCTATTTATTTTTAATGAAATTGGCTGAAGCACTGTTTGCAAAAGTATTTTTCACAGTTTCTACAAAACTTGTATGTTCTTATGACACAGTGTTTTGTAGAGCATTTTTTTTGTTTGTCTTTGTTTACTGTTTTGTGTGGTTGTCCAACCTTCAAACTAGCGTTTCCAATATAGTGCTTAGCGATAGCAAGAACAAATTCTTTAGTTCCAATCTTATTTTCTTCCATATGAGCGGAATTAAATAATACAGTCGCATTTGTGATTGCAGATTGGATTAACTTTACAAAAACAACCCATGTCCATCGTTTTGATCGAATGCTTGGCAATACATTATTACAATGTCCGTCATGGAGATCGACTCCTCCCATAAATTTGTTATAAACGTGGAACACTTTCGGAAATGGAATCTCTACTTTTGATCTTTGCTCTGCCTTGTACCTGTTTAAAGGCATAAGAGGATTCACTCCTGCAGCTGTAGAAGCAATTGAAACTTGCTTAGAATCTATCATGGTTATATAATTAATCCGACTGTTTTTATCATGTTTCGCAACATACGTACCTCTAGGAGCATTTTTATCAATTATATTTTTTTCACGAACTCTGTTCTCCCGTATAGTGCCTGTAGAACGTAAACCTAATTTACTTAAGTGTAAAATGAGATCAAAACTGGTGAAAAAATTATCAAAATAGAGATGATATTCGGAAATTTTTCGTGGACTAGTATTTGAAAAAAAGTTTTTCAAAAGAAGCATCACAACCCGAGTACCTAATGTACATTTAGGTAAAATATCTCCAACTGAAGAGTTTTTTCCGCAATACAAATCTAAGTCTAATAAAAATCCATTCTGAGTACAAAGCGCCCAAAATTTCAATCCGAATCTGATTGGTTTTCCTCTGATGAATTGCTTCAAACTTGTACGTGCGTAAGACTTAACCATCGTTTCATCTACAGAGAGAGCAGTTTGAAAATATCCATAACTCTGAATATTTGTCCTAAATATTTCAAGAATCGCACGGATTCGCCATCCCTTGTCATTGTTATCTTTATCTTTAGATTTAGAAAATTTTAATTTTGCTTTAATTCGTTCAAAATCATCACGTGACATTGCAGATTTGATAACTTCACAGTGTAAATATGGATCAGTCGACCAATAATCTCTTTAAGGGGTTACCCCCACTTGTAGCGCAAAAAAATAAGCCTTTTTTATGAATTTTTTTAAAGAAAACTACAAAACCTTTTTAATCTATAACTATATCATCTTAAAGAACACATATTGAAGAACTTTTAGTAATTTTTTTGTTAAAAAATATTACATAGTTAAGTGTCAAACTGCCGTCAACGAAATAATATTTTTATTTATACGGTTTGCGGTGACCAACATTGCGGCGAAGTGAATCATCGGAATCAAAAAATGTGGATAAATTTAGTCAAATATGAGTATAAACTAGTCTTTAATCGAAGGATTTAAAAAAATATTTATTTTTCACAAAATGGCTGACAGTCTAAGTTAAAAGTTCGATTTTAACGAAAAAAAACGTCCGTTTTTTGGCTATAAAACGGACATTTTTTTCGAAAAAGAAAATCGAACGATTAAAGACTACATTTTTATGTATTAAATAAGCCTGCAAAATTTCAAGAAGATCGGTTCATTAGTGTTTGAGTAATCTTGGTCACCGACTTCAGAAATGCCATTTCGAGAAAAACGCGTTTAAAGTTTCAATTTCAGTTTCCACGAAGAAAATAATTTTTTTGTAAAGTTACATAGAATCAACTCCGGTAAGTGGGAGTACGTAATAGTTTGGTTTCCAGAAGTAGGCTGAAAAGTCATGGTGGTAATTAAAAAAAAGATATTCATTTTATCGATGCATATATGTATATACAAATCAGTATATATCAGTCTCTTTCGTCTCTTTCAAAGCTCATATCTCAGTCAATTTTGTTGGAATTGACTTGAAATTTTCAGGACATACTTTCAGTTACTTATGCTTCAAAAAAATGCAATAAAAGAAAAATCGATTTTTTCAAAGTTGCAAGTGGGGGTAACCCCTTAAGATTTTCTTGAATTGATTGAAGTTAGAATAACAATTCCTAAAAAAGTATTAAAGTCTTTTAAACTTATATCAAAATCATTTTCTTTACATGCATCAATTATATACTTCTTAATTTCACTACAAAAAAAGGTTTCAAACAGTTCGACAGGCGTCGAATCTTTAATTTTTTTTTGTCAGTATCGCTTAACAAGATTAAATTTTCTATTTTATCCGTAGACACGTTTTCACCATCTAACCAATCATACTTGTGGTTTTCCTCTAATTTCTTTTGACCATAAGTATAAAATTTAGAAGCTTCACTATAAAAAATTTGAGGTGAAACATTTTCATATGATTCAATTTCAGAATCTGAGTCCTCAGAACTGCTAGAATCATATGCGTTTGGTAATAGTATGATGTCATCGAAAAAATCATTAGAATCATCAAACTCATACTCTTCTTCGGGACTCTTAGATTTTTTAGTATGTTTCAATTTTGGTGGCATTTCGAAATAATCTAAATTTTAAATACCATACGTAAGCGTCAACAAAAAATAACAATAAAATTATTATTATTATTATTATTATTATTATTATTATTATTATTATTATTATTATTATTTATTTATTTATTAAGAATAAAAACACTAATGATCTAGTATGAATAAAATTTTGTGTCTAAAAAAACATCTGTACAAATTTGAAAATTAAATTTTATATTTTAGAGGTAAGTTTCCATTATACACAAAACAGTCGACAAAATAAATTATATAAATAACATTCAATATTAATGACACAACGTTACTACTACATTGAAAAGTACATACGACATAATTTCAAATAAAAAAACATAAACCTTGATAACATAAATCTGTCAAACAATTTTGTAAAGTATATAAAAACATATATGAAATAATAGTAAAAATATTAACTTTTATCTCTGCTGATCATAAAAACACGAAAGACAAGTGATTATGAATAATGAAATTTTTATTAAATGTTATTATTACACTATTCAGCTAATTTGAAAAAACCTAATGTTAGAACACAGGAGTTTGTTCTTGCAATTCCAAAAAATTATACTGGAAACGCTGCTTTGAAAGTTGGAAAAACACACGACACATGTAACAAAAGTAAATAAAAAACATGATTTTCAAAATGTTGAATCATTAAAACATACAGGTTTCAAATTCGTAGAAATGAATTTGAAATGAATTAGTTGTAAATTAAAATTTTCTCATCCGCCATATTGGATCCGCCATTTTGAATTTTGAAAATCTAAATTCAGATTCGTAATCAGCGACCCCGAAAACCCCCGAGTAATGTTTTTGAACTGAATCAGATGAAAATTTAAATTTCTCATCCGCCATATTGGATCCGCCATTTTGAATTTTGAAAATCTAACTTCAGATTCGTAATCAGCGACCCCGAAAACCCCCGAGTAATGTTTTTGAACTGAATCAGATGAAAATTTAAATTTCTCATCAGCCATATTGGATCCGCCATTTTGAATTTTGAAAATCTAACATCAGATTCGTAATCAGCGACCCCAAAAACCTCCGAGTAACAAAATTTGGGCGAATTCAATAACATTTTGGTATTTTGAAAAATAGTGACCAAAACTTTCAAAATTTTTCTTCATATTTGACGCCATATTTGGTCGCCATCTTGAAATTTTGAAATCTAGTTTACGTTTCTTAAAAGTATACAACTTTTATGCACCTATGGTTGAAAACTGAATTTTATTCACACACGATTAACGGTAAAAAAAAATTATCAAACTTGAAAAAATGAAATTTTTTTTGGTCTTTTTGAAATTAAAACCGCCATATTTAATTTTGGGTTGAACGAAATTCCTTTTTGACACCGGAATCGGAAAGAGCACACTCAAAACCAGTAAGAAACATACTTGTGGTATGAAATAAGATCTTGTTATTTGTAAAAGCATACGTTAAAATTGCGCAAAGAATTTTCTTATTTCAGGCGTTAATGGGTTAATATATATAGATATAATAATAATATTCGCCTCTCTTTCGCTCCTACTCTAAACTAAAAGGACAGGCGATACTTACCTCTCTTTCTCTCCATCAACCTTTCTCTCTCACTGCGGACAGAATGTACACGCTCTGGACAGACTGAATGAAAGAATACAAAGATTATTATAGTTAATTTATCTTTCACATTTTTTTTCGTGCCTGCCCCCGACCAGAAGCAATCGCTTCGCTCGTACATTAAATGTCGGGGCAGGCGAATGTTGTTTGCAAGAGAGAGACAGAGAAAAAACCAGAGCTTCACGAGTGTCCGCTAGAGGCGTTGAAGCGAGGAGCAAAAGTAAATAAAGGTGGCCGGCTGTCAAATAAAACTCGATTGCAATTTTCTTCAAAAATAAATTAGCGACCGTACTTTCGACCGTATATAAAGAAAAATAGTATACATTACACGGTCAGAAATATGAAAGCCCTAAAATACGCGATGATGATAAAATTTCGCGCAGTGCAGGAATTACGAACTTTCTGCCGTTATAATGTAATATACTATTATTTCGTTTATAATACACTTTGACTAACCAACAATGCTTGATTTTGCTTCTATTATGATTTCTTTAAATAGAGAAATTTTCATATTATCGCGAAAACTTTATTACACAAGTTTCAAAAAGATCAATTTCATTTTTATTGATTTTTCTGATTATTTGGCTAAATCTACTTATTATTTAATTTTTATTTGGTATTTCATTAAAAGTTTCTTGTTTTGTGCATCTAATTGGACCATAACAATAATTTCAATTCATAAAATATTCAAGAATCATACAGTAGACTTAAGGCGCTAGCACAGCTCCTACTGCCTGCCTGCCTGCCTGCAGGTTGACATGGTAACACATAAGAGTAAGAGAGTCAGAAAATTCAAATTAAATGTTTTTTCTCTCACTCTTATGGCGCCTGCCTGCGCAGGCAGGCAGTAGAGGTAAGAGTTTACCTTAAATCCATTTCAAATCAGGCATGTCGACTAACTTCATGTTATAGAAAAAAAATTGTTTTGGTTGTCATTTTTTTTTTGAGTATAATTTAATTTTCTTTTTTGGGTCTTGTAGATGGTCTTGTCCTCTTCACAATCCAGTTTGACATTTGAAAAAATATTAAAAATGATAAAAATAGGGGATGATTTTCCGAAAATAAATAAGATCAATTTGCTCAAAAACACCACCTTTTTTTGTTATCAAATTTTTACTATAAATTCTTAAAATCATTATGAACACTTCCTATGAATTTCTAGCGGGCTAAACCATTCTATCAATCAAGAGAATTTTTTTTTAAATTTATTTTTACAAATTTTCAAATTGCTAACGTTCACGTCAAGAATGTTATAACGGTTCATTTGTTTTTAAAAATGCAAGTTAACAATTTGAAAATTTGCAAAAATAAATATTTAAAAAAAAATTCTCTTGATTGACAGAATGATTTAGCCCACTTGAAATTCATAGGAAATGTTCATAGTTATTTTAAGAATTTGTAGTAAAAATTTGATAACAAAAAAGGTGGTGTTTTTGAGAAAATTGATCTTATTTATTTTCAGAAAATCATCCCCTATTTTTATAATTTTAAATTTTTTTTCAAATTTTAAACTGGATTGTGAAGAGGACAAGACCATCTACAAGACCCAAGAAAGAAAATTAAATTATACTCGAAAGAAAAAAAATTACAAGCAAAACAATTTTTTTTCTATAACATGAAGTTAAAATAATCAGAAAAATCAATAAAAATGAAATTGACCTTTTTAAAACTTGTGTAATAAATTTTTCGCGATAATATGAAAATTTCTCTATCTAAAGGAATCATAATAGAAGCAAAATAAAGCATTGTTGGTTAGTCAAAGAATTAGTCAAAGAGTAAACGAAATAAAAATTACTTTCTAAAAAGTGCAAAAATCCCATGTTAATTAAATGGGAAAAGTATTGTTATTTAGGCAGGGTTAAACGGCATCGTAAAATTTTTTTCTAGTTTCTAGAATTGTTTTTAGGTCAAAAAGAAACGATTTTGACGATACCCAAATGAAAATAGCTAACTTGGGAAATAACGGACACCCTAATGTACATTTTATTTATTGCTTTATTTATTTTGATAAAATTAATTTTATTTATTATTTGAATATAAAAAAATTGAATGTAAAAAAGTTTGAAGTAATTGGCACGAACTGTGGATTAGACAATTATATTAATAAAAAATAATCCTATTTTGAAGAAATAAGAAAATTAAATAAAAAATATTTTTCATCATTTGGTTTGTCTATTAGAACATCATTTTGATACTTGATAGATAAGTCTATAAGATTGAAATTGAGCACCTACATTAACAAATCTTCTTTTTTTACGGAGAAAATGGAAGAGCAACAAATCTCTTCTACTTCCTAACCGTTACAGATAGCGAGCCATTAGAGTGTCATTTTTTTCCTCGTTTATGAATGACCAGCTGCGGATAAGCCCTGTGGAATATATCGCCACAGGACCACAGAAGCACCAACGTTCCAGGCGCTGTGGTCATTTGTTTGAATTATTTTATATCCTGTGATTTTTTACTATATCACTATCTTTCTATAGATAAACCAAATCTATAGTTTATTCGCTATATACAAATCCAAAAATTTCATTTTTATTTCTCGAATTCAATTTCAAAAAATAATTTTTTGATAAACATTAAATCTTGAATGAAACGAAACGGTTTTTATATTTTACTATATCTATGTTTACTAAATTTAATGTAGGTATTTAGAGTTAAAAATAAAAGAAAAGAAAAATATTTTTTTCTTTGAAGGACATAAAGACTGTTTTCTTAAAACTGATAAATATAAGGGATTTTCTAAAACATATTATGTAAGTTAATAAATATATTATATACATATATAAATTTCTACATTATGATGACAAATTTTTATTATCATTTGGCATAAGTGCTGAGAAAAGTGACATTATATCGAAATATAACATTAAGGGGGACTCGAAGAGGAAAAGCGTGTTACTTCATCAAGTGGGATTTACGTGTAAAAC